ATTACTCATCTCCTATTAAATACTGTTTTGTGGGATTAATGTCTTTCAAAAGGCAATGCAATCCTCTTTCGTTTGATATTACGTATGTGTTGGTTTTTACTGTTCATGCGCGTTTGTAGCGTTGCGAATATGACGGCGCGGACCCTCACTTGCTCCGCTAGTTCATGTTTTATGAACGATACATTAAATATAGCACGGTTCCAATATAGCAGTTTTGTTAAGATGATGTCGGAGCAGAATGTAACGATACACTTTTTTGGTATTTGCACTACTTTGTTTTTTTCATCCCTCCAAATATTGCCCTAAAATTGACATTTTTCAGCACAAATATGTTTTTAATGACAAGCGCTAGGGCAATGAAATTAGCTACAGATGTAGTGCTTATAATTGGTAATATGCAGAAAAACAATTAATGTTGTGTAAAATTTTTTTGTTTAGATATCTTATATCAAACGTAGCACTTTTTTGTGCTTCGAGTCATGGTACTTCAAATGCCGCTGAGGAAATAATTAAACTATGATAAAATCTTTTATAACATTTAGAGCTACAATGGTTGCCCAAGAGGTGGACGATGGCTTTTTTTTTAATTTTCAAACTCATAACGCTCCAGGAGCCCTTCAAACTTACCTGTTTTTGACGCATATCTTTTTTGGACATCAAACAGATTTATTGGCATCTAATAACATTTATTGTTTGGAATAGATATACATTTCGATGTATTAAATTTTCACAATGATCTTGCTTTGGTATTTTAAAAGGTGCAGAGCTTAGCTAATTTTAAAAGCAATTAAAACTGTTTGGGTGTTTTGTTGCGCTACCTGGCGGATGGCAGACAAACTGCTGATTTCTAGTGTTAAAAAAATTTCCAAGGGCGGCGTTGGCATCTGTATCATCATCAATCTCCGTGTCTTTTTACCACTGCTTTTACCTTCAAATTTAAAAAAATATATTGGAAGATTTACTATCGATAAATGAATGGTTTAAGCACTGGGTAAGGTTAATAAATCTATGACAATGACAAGCGTGATATAATGTGTTCATTATTCGATATGATTGAAATCAATAAACTATAGAGACGAAGAGGAAAATAATACACCCGAGTTCACTTCATGCCTAGAGTCACTGAATGAGCTTTAAAGTATCGGCACTCCGTTCCCCAAAATTGTTTTGGGTGCCGATACTCTAAGCGCAGCTAATTTATTTGCTCCAGTTTCCGCGAAACTCCTTTTCCCTGACTGAAACTGAAAGTAAATATGAATAATACACCATTATTATAGATTATTTAGTTATTACAAACTACACATAATGAGAGGAGGAAGCGGCCGGGTAGAAGAAACGCGGGTTTCATGTGCGACCGTTCTAAGCGTCTCAAAAGAGAGAACGCGCGAGTTTGCGCTGGTTTAAAAAAAAGACATCCAAAGAAAAGAGGCGGCACGCTGTGCTCTTTGTTGTTATGCGTCTAATTGCAAATTGTTGTGTGTATGCTTATACAGCCGGAAGTTAGTCCGCCTTAGTGGGCGTCTGACTCTCAGCTGTAGATGAGCAATTTAGCCAGTGCGGTACAACCGCAAACCTGGGGTCTTTAACGTGCACCACGCAGTAGTGATACACGATCGCACGCCGGTACGGTGCTCTTCCAGATCCAAACGGGCAGGGGCGGGGTGGCTTCTGCAGCGTGAGCTTTCGCTCCAAGTGCTCCGAGCTGGTGTGCGCTAGACCATGCACTCGGCCACCGACCCCCCCCCCCCCCCCCCCCCCCCCCCTTTGTGCGTCTAATTTATATACAGGTATAAGTATTTGAAGGTCGACGATGGACATCGTCTCGAGGTAATGTAACGTAATAACATTATATAAATAATAAACTTGTTGGAGGACTGAACGACTCAATTTTTCAATTCTTGGATTGTAATATGGCGGCAGCCTATTGTACTCGCTGTGGATGAAGAGCAATATGAGATGACGAGGTAATGATTAAATGATGAGGCTCTATAAGGACGACGACATTAGTGGGTGTTGAACCACAACGTACAGTGCCAGACTTGTTTCAAGTATCGTATACCCAAAGACTTTTTTCACCCGCAACAGAATATGGTAGAATCAATGAGGATGCTGCTTTACAACTGTACGTGGAACAGGAAAACTGCACTGTGCAGAACTGCGGCTTATTCGTTAATAGGAGGGACGGATTTCTAGCAGCATTCCCTGATTAACTACTTGGAACAAATGGCCTCGTTGACGTAAAGTGTCCCCGTTCCAAAAGATTCTTGAAGCATACTTAAACCGCAAAGGAGTATGAGGCGAAAAACAAGAAGAAGGAGCCTGGTTTGAAAGGTCCAAATCACCACCATAGCTTCTACTATCAAATACAAGGGCAGTTACACAATACACAAAGAGAGTTTTGTGATTTAGTTATATTTACACTCAAGGGCATTGATATCCAACGTATTCAGAGAGATGACACCTTCTGGTCAACCAACATAGAGCCTTTTCTACTCAAGTTTTATATGGAAGGCCCGACTTCCGCTGAAATTCCTTACGTAGACGAGTTGTCCGACCGAATAAACTGCAATTACTCCCCCGATCTGAGAATCTCTTAATCTTCGTTCGTAAGCCATAGTATCATGAGATCGAGGGTGTGGTTCTTCGTCCGGCGAATATTGCTTGGGCGGGTGTTTTTTCCGTGTAAGATGAGACCGTCGCGTGCTGCTGGAACAACAACCTGGCGACTCTTCACTGAACTGCTTCTTCCGTAAGCTTCAAAAGGGCTTTTTTTTTTTTTTTTTTTTCTGTTTCGCACACCATTTGTTCTGCATGCCCGTTAGTTGCAGGATGGTATGGTGCACTAATGTGATGCCTGATGCCGGTTTTTTTTTCGTCAAAAACGTGTTTATTTTGTTTGAAGCAAGATTTGGCGCGTTATCAGAGAAGCATTTTCGGTGGGGCAAAAGTAGGTAAAAGAGACCGTAGAACGTCAATGACGTGTTTGGACGTCGTGGCAGGCATCGTGTAAACTTCCAGTTACTTAGAGTACGTATCGCCCATGACTCCGCAGATGCGGATACGTTTCGCCACCCACCGATTGAATAGTGGATCGTTTTCAGTTACTGTTCATGATGGCGTTGGACTAAAGGAAGACTTCGAGTCTTTCCAGAAAGTTAGCCCAGGTGCCAGGACTTTTGTCGAAAGCGGTAAGTTTTTCGAAACGTCGACAACGTCGGTAGCCACGTGTTGTGCTTGACACTGGACACTTACCATTCGCTGAGAAGAAACTTGCTTGTTCGTCTGCCACGAGTCGTCCGATATCAGGTCATCACCGCAACACCATCTCCCGACAAAAAGGCATGTCCATAGTTAGCAATCACCTGAACTTATATATTCCCGAACGCTCATAACTTGCCGTCGCTAAACGCCGTTCATTCATCGTCATCATTGCAAATAAACGTCTTCCTATTTCTTCTGATGGCTTTCGTCATACTCCTCCTAAGCTGTACTTACAACATTATGTGTGCCGGTACTTCCGAAAATATTGCAACGGCGCTTGTTTTCTGGGAACTATAATGTAACAACCTTTACAACATCTTCCGGACCCCGTGAAACACAATAGTTCGTGACGTTATTTTAGTCGTCATTAAAATGATGAGGTGAGAACCCGTAAATCCCGAAGCAGTTTTGTTGACGTCCGCTTCCATGGTGTCTTAGGGATTGAGTCTACTGAGCGTGCATTCCTGCAGAAGAAATTTTCATTGATAGAATATTGACACGCCAATCAACATTTGATTCCTTCTTGGTAAGATTTATTGCGAAAGCCCGTTATAACCGCCGAACGGCATCCCCCTATATCAGAGAACAATTTACACCCAGCCTGACATTCTCGCATACATCCGTTTGCTGGGCCACGCTACTTGAGCTAGCTGAGCACAGCTGGCAGCGGCGCGAGCAAGGCCATGAGGGGAACGTGATGGTGCTCGAGCCATCCCACATATCGAGGGGCTTTACACAACACGGGTGCGTGTCGCCATCTATTGGTTGAACTAACGCCTTGTTCAAGATGGCTGCCGTGGGACCGCAGCCTTAAACCAATAAACATAAAGCGGTGTTCACACTAGCTGCATGTGCACTCTGCCAGTAAATGTAGATGTCTGAGGCATCCAAGAGACTTGAGAGATGTTAGGCTTTGGAACACCGCGTGAACTTTGGGATCAAGCGCGAGGCATACGTTCCTTGTGGTTCTTGAAAGCCGTGGCTGTTACGCGCATGCGCTTACATTGTGCTGAAAACTGAACGAGTGATTTAGCTAAAAGGATTACATACATGACCTGCACGGGACGTCATCGTACCATGCTGGTGAGGGTCATTTCTACTTGTCTTTGCCGAGAAAAACCAAATCGGTGGTGCGAAACGGATTCTGCAGTAGGTACTTGCTCAGAAACAATTGCCACTATAATGGCGGCTTATATGACGTCAGTGCAAGCCGCGCACACAGAGATCGGATTGAAAGGTTCGTAGTCATGGCTCGTTGTGGTGCCAATGATGAGAAACTGCATTTGATTGTAATATATGCCGAGGAGTAGGAGCAGGGCGAAAATGCAAGACAACCAGCGGAGCTGCAGGGTATCTTCACCCTGCTCCGCGTTTTTTCGGTGCGTTATAAGGTGTTTTCATTGACGTCATTATGTTCACCATTTTGCGGTATGGGAGCAGCCTGGTGCGTACCAAAGGCGAACGTTTGAAAGATTCATCCGCGGAACATGTAACAACCAAATGGCGGATTGACATCACGTGAAAACGCCCTATTGGCGACTCCAGCGAAATCGACGGCACCTAGCGGCTAAAACAGAAAGCTGCTGCGGCAGGCCAACACCAGGCCCGCTCGCCAGCTTCTCAGGCGAATCAGGAATTCAGTGTCTCGTGGTCCAAAGAAGAAGCCGCAAAAGTAGATTCAAAAACACGCGATCAAAAAAATTCAGAACGTTTTTTTTTTTTTTTTTGCGGCGTTTTACAGAACGATGAAAGACGACACGGAAGTTTCCGATCGGAGCGCGCAGTCTTTGAACGGTTCGGCTACGTTCAGGTCCAACTCCCCGATACGTTCTTCCGAAGACCATGCAACGACCATGGTACAGGAAGTGATCTAGCTTGGTAGAAAGATGATGACTCAATCTATGACGCCGAGAGCGACATCGAGGCCGTCTTTGCCATCGGCCAGGAGGTCAAGCACAGCCCAGTTTGGCAAGGCAGGGCCGGAGCCCGTGCCGGGTTTGCTCTACTACGAATTCCTGCCGCTGGTTCGCCGTTCCAAGGCTACGGGACGTCTCGAGTTTCAGGAGTTTGAGTAAGCGAGGGTGCATTTCTCCTTAGATATGCACGATCACTGTATGCCGGTGATCGTGCATATATATATATATATATATATATTGTTCTATCGTCTGCCATTTTGTTGTGAGCTGTGGGTGCAGAGGATTTTTTTAATATCACAGGATCCTTTTAACCCTCAAAAGTTCAGAGGTCCCCGCGTTGACATATTCCAGAAGAAAATTGCGGCGTGCTGGCGCCTCTTTTGATAGCTGAACTGAAAATACCACAAAATGTCGTGTGCGAAGGATGCCATAAAGGCTCAAGTTGGCCAGCCCATAACTTTAGATTGACTTCCAAGTAATAAACCTTTTGCCGAATTATCCAAGCATCAAAAATAATGCCGGGAACGCATATAGTACACGCGCTGCACGTTCGAGAGCAAAAGTCTAAAACAAATGGCACTTCGCACACGCGTTCCACGGACGCTTTATTTCGGTCATTTACTTCGAATATTTTCTATAGGGAATGCGAGCACGTGCAGCGCGTGTGCATACATTCCCCACGTTCTCTTTTATGCTTGGGTAATTTAGCGAAAGGTCTATTGTATCGGGAGTATTCACTGGACGCCATATTTGAGTGCGTTGTTCACCGCGCATGCTCAAAACAAGCTCACAATTATAGGCTGGTGAGACCAGCACCCTTGATGGTGTGGAATGCCCGTTGCCAAACGACTGTGGAAGCTCCCCGTCAGCACGTGCTCAGCAGCCGATAACTCAGCTATGGCCACCAGTAACTACTCGCTATTGGGCAGGAGATCGAACTATGGGGGGCGCTTTATAGAGCTTGTTGTCCCCACAACTCGGTGTTTACCGACACAACATAACAAAGAAATTGAACCTCGCCGAGCACGGTCTGGGCACGAGCGCTTCGCTTTGATCAGTGCTTTGGTCGCACGAGGAGCGGCCTTCGAATCGTCGTCTTCGATTTCTCGGATCAAAAACAAACAAGAAAATGGGGTTTGTTGTCCCCACAGCTGAAGCGCACCGCTAGAGGCGTGACTGTTCGATCTCCTCCCCAATAGGGAGTACTCACTGGACGCCATATTTGTGGGTGCTGTTTAGAGCGCAAGCTCAGAACGAGCTCACATTAATAGCCTGCTAAGACCGGCAATCTTGATGGTGCGGAATGCACGTTGCAAAAGAACTGTGGAAGCTCGCCGTCAGCACGAGCTCAGAATTCGCGCACACAGCTATGGCCGCCAGTGAATACTCCCTCGACTTTTTTTTAACCGGGTCGAGGGTGCATCCGTTGCGCACTGGTATGATGCTAAACAGAAATTTCTATAGCTGGAAGTATTCACTGGCGGCCATAGCTGTGTGCGCGACTGCTGAGCGTGTGCTGAAGCGAGCTTCCACGGTTCTTTTGCAACGTTGCATTCCACACCATCAGGATTGCCGGTCTTAGCAGCCTATTAATGTGGGCTCGTTCTGAGCGTGCGCTCTAGACAGCACCCACAAATATGGCGCCTAGTGAATACTCCTTATAGAAGTGCATGCTTAAAGGAGCTGTACAACGATATTCAATTGGAATGTTTTTCTCTCTACACGAGCTTACTGGCGCACCTGGGACTCAAGGATACTCACACGCAACGCCATTGGCCAAGAAACTCCTTTGTTGCGGTGTAATTTCAAGGACAAAAGCGATCATTTTCGTTCAATCTCTCCTTTGCGAAATTTGATGACGTAACGTGGGGATCGCAGTACACCCAGGTGACGATATTTGAATGCGGTTCATAGATTGGACCCGAGCATTGCGTGGGCACTCGACTTGGGCTCGTGACAACTGCTAGCTCGAGAAGCATTTGGGTTGTGACCCGTGTCCAATCGCTGCAACGACGACAACAGCCGAGCCATAACAATGTCTGGAACTCAGCGCGTGTCCTGCGCTTTGACAACCCCAGCGCGTGGCTATGATCAACACTGGCGGCATATAATAGGCTCCAGAACACGTGGCCGCTTGTTCTGGCTGCGAGTTGAGGGGGTGAACGCTGCTCGTTTTTCTTAATTTTTTTTCTGAGACTTCTATTGCGTGGGGTGAAAAACGAACGCGTGTTTCATAGGTCATTAACGTTAGGGATCCGTTTTAAGCGGTATTTGTGCACAGTACAAAAATTGTTGCATCGCTCCTTTAATTGTGCATGGCTCTTCTGCCAAAGCGGAGTGTTTTCAGAGCTTTGAAAAGAAGTAGCGAAGTTTGTACGCATAGCTATCAAATTATGTCCCCTTACCCCTTAGACATCACCAGAGTCAGGTTGTCTTGCATGAATACTATTACCTGATCACAATAGGCAGGCTGGCTTGCATCAATAAAAAAATCGCCCCTTTACAGCTTAGACAACAGCATGAACCGGCCGACTGCGTTGCATAGATACCATACTACATCATTGCAGCTAAGACGTCACCATAGGCAGGCTCGCTTCTATAAATACGATCATCCCGTTACAGCTTAGAGCTAAACGTCACCGTAAGCCGGGGTCACACTGCTTATAGATCATACAAAATATAGTCTGCAGTGAGTTCAAGGAGAAAACTTGGCTATAGATTCAACGGCGAGGATCGACAAGTGCTGCAACAAGACATTAATGGCGTTGGACTCGCGGCCTTTCAGCTCATCAAAAGTGCTTGGTGCCTGGGACACAACTGACCAATTCACAAAGGCCTTGGTAGTGTTCCTCACGAACACGAAGTTATCACACACTTTTTAGGGTGCTTAAAATTGCCTGTGAGATTTTGAACATTTTTACCATTGCTCACCCTCATTGACAACTTCAACTCATCTTTCTTCCTCATCGTCATACCTTTTCTTCCTCCCCCTCTTCTCCCCAGTACAGAGTAGCCAAGCAGAACCTACGTTCAGGTTAACTTCCCTGTCCTTCCTTAATAAACCCTTCTCTCTCCCTCTCTCTCTGGGCACGCGGCATTCGAATCCCGTATACTGCGGTGACTTGTGCTTGCAGACTGTCTTTTGTATATGATGGATTAGCAGTGTGACCCCGGCTTAAGACGCGTGGTAACATGGTTGACCTTTTTTCTTTTGACAAATGAAATTCATTGTACAGGGATGTGCTGGAGCGAGCGAGTGACTGGTACAGCCAGGTACGCGGATACCGCGCGGTCACCTTGGAGACAGTGCAGTTCAAGTTCAAAGACCGAGAACCGTCAGAGAAAAGCATCCCCACCTTCGACAAGGACGGACGCAGTCCCGCAGCTGCTAAGCGCCACTACTACGGCGACGGGCTCAGGTCAGTCTGCGTGCCCAGGGTGTGAACAAATTTGCTCGATCTCAAGCGCGCTTTCTCAGAGTAGAACGGTAAAGTCACAGAAAAGAAAATTACGGCGTTAATGACACGTTCCTCCAAGATCAGCCGGCGGAGGTTTGAACAAGTCACCAGTAGTTCAGGTGGACACCAACATCACATCGTTGATAATTTCCGCCTCGTTGTGACCGTGATTTGGCAAATGGCGAAGGCTATACAGTCCCAGTCAGCCAATCAGCGTGTCGATCGGAGAGAGGCACGTGACTCTCTCTCGCGTGCTGTGAAGGTCACAGGTGGGAAAGAGGAAAGCCGCTCTTGTACATGACAAGCTAATCTTCTATGGGGTTGAAAAAGCGACCTCTGGGCGCCTCTGGGGACACCCAGAAGAGGGTAAGAGGGAGGTTCCTCCTTCCCTTCTTCTCCAACTGCTTGGTTACACCCCTACACTTCGATCCATGCACCTTTGGCGCTGTCACGTGTTTCGTCTCCATCGCCCTGATTGGCTCGAAGGGGCCATGATGTTCGCTCTTGGGCCAAGTTATAGGGTTAGGGCGTAGTGGTGGCGGCTCGATGATATCTTGAATATAAGTAGGATTTCGTGTTTTCGGAGTATATTTATTTTAAAAATTGGGAAGGTGTTTATCGGAGTTTTTATGTTTTCCCTGAAAATTGGGGGGTTCGTCAGGGTTTATTTTTGTTAGATTCTTAATTACCTGAAATTCAAAACCTTTAAATTCAGAGCCATAAAAAAAAAAGTCCGGGTATTTTGACAAGCTAAGAGACAACCCCTTTTGTAAGTAGTTCGATATTTCAAAGGAAACTAAAGTGGTATCTCGTCAGGTCCACTGACCTTGTGAACATTTATTTACCACCATCTCTTTTTTTCTTTTCTTGTCGTTGCGACCTTGACATTTTCAGTGTTTTGGATAAATCCGAAATGAAAGAAAATTTACCAGCGAGTATTTTTCGGATTTATCCGAAAACACGGTATCCTAAAAGAATAGAAACCATTCCAATGATTGCTGTCGTGCCTTGCCATGTTTATCTAATAGGTTGTGGAACACATTCCGAGCAAACGGATTCTGATCTTCAGCGGAAGACCAGAATCCACGTATGTGTCCATGGCCCAGTGACTCAGCATTTTTTAAACACGTGATACGTGCTGGAAAGGTATACAAATATACATATATATATATATATATATATATATATATATATATATATATATATATATATATATAATCGCAGTGGATGTTATTCGCTGACATCCATAGTTGAGTGCCCGTTGTTGCTGAACGCCTCAATACAGAACTTCTGCGACGCGTACCCCAGATACCATCAAGATCACCGTTCTTCGTAGACGATAGTAGAAGCTCGTTCTGGGTTTACGCCGTGAACAACTTGCTGAAATGAGGCATCCCAGCAAATACCATCTGCATTTTTTTTTTTAAATTCCACATTCAGTAAGCGGGGTTGTCCTTCAGGATTTGGCTGTTCCCGTCAGAACTGCACGCTGCGGGCGGAGCGGAGCTCGGCTACCGTGATCTACTGCCTCGACGCACCCAGGACAAGACGCAGTCATCCTACGAGACTGTACCAGAAATCTTGGACCGGTTCAACTACAGCCAAGCCAGCGGTCAGGACCCTGTGCCGGGAAAGATCATCAGCGTCGAGTCCAGGGACGTGGAAGGCTCGAACCAGAGTAACGCCTCTTGTGCTGCGAGAGCCCTCGAAGGAGACTTGCTGACGTGCCACAACATCTTCAGCTTCAGAGTCTTCTTCTACCGGGGCAAGCCAACCAGAGAGAGGATTCGTACGTCAGCTTCGTTACTCTCTATGCATCCGCGCATAATGAAAAGGTGTATTTTAGCATCATTGCGTACGGCCATAACAGCTAATGTATTATTAAACCCGTGACCGGGAAAATGGAGTCCGTAGCTAAAACGACGCCAACTTGGTTTCCAAATGGTGTTTTGTTTTCCGAGCAGACGACTGAAAATAGATTGTTTCTGCGACATCTTCTAAAAGTCAAACCAGCTATGAAAAACGCGATGCCATTTACTATTTGTAATAATGACGATGAATAAGCATTTAGTTAACAAGTATGACTCTCAAAGTTGTATTTGTACCGTGCTGTCGCAGCTGAACCGCAAACATCGAAATATGAAAAATACTAATGTGGTGGAACATGGACTCGCTAACTTAGGCGGTAAGATAAGATTAGATGTTCAAAAACTGCATTTGAAAAGCGTAGAAAAGCGCGGATATAGACCCTACGCAAAAAAAGAAAAAAAAGAAACAAAAAAAAGAAGTGCCTTCTATATTGTACCTATTATCAACGATCAAGTTTCCGCCATGTTGTAGGATTCCCTTACCCATGTGTTTCGCTAGAGACACTGATCGCGGCAAAGTGGGGGTGGTGGATCAGAAAGATCCACCCCTCCGACTTTTTCGGCGAACATTTATTTTGAGACATGCCTGTCCTAACCAGGTAGACATATTGTTTTCTTCTAGGCTGTGTTTTTTTTTTTAATCCAGACGCAGCCGAGCTTACGAGATGATGGGACCAATCACACAGCATCAGGAGGGCACCATCATGATGTTTGTCATGTTTCTGTACGTGTTCTATCATTGCAGAACCAATCATAAACACAAAAAGGCCTAGCGACTTGCACTTTTGAAGCTGGTCGATAGTCTCATTAGCTCAAAGCATCGAACCCTTCATACAGCGTCTTTGGTAAAGACCGCGCTCACTTACCCAGATGACCATGGGCGTACCAACCGGGAAGACAAGGGGGGCGCTTGCCCCTCCAGTTCTCAGAGTAGGGGGGGGGGCAAGGCATGTGTTTTGCCCCCCCCCCCCCCCCCCACCCCACCCGGAAATAGCCGCCACTGGGCAGGGCAAACACTGGCCGGCGGCGTCCATGGGATACCAAGGGCACCGCCCCCTGGCCCATTTGGGGGGGGGGGGGGGGGGTCTGGTCTGGTTTGCCCCCCCCACTCAAAAACAAGTTGGTATGCTACTGCAGATGACTCATTTCATTGCTTCGTTGACAAGTCTTGCGATTTAGTTGCTGAAAATCGGTTTTCCACGACCTCGCGGCCGTGTTTCTTTTCTTCGTTGCACCGAAACTATTGAATGTACAAATACATTGTCCTAATATCATGACAACCGAGTTATGCAGACGCCCCTCGTTTACAGATGGAAGATGGCAAAACTCCTCCAATATGGCGGCTCCGAGTGGAATGATAGCCGGGAGGAATTTTGCTATCGTTCGCGATGTGTCGAGCAGTGTAGTACATTCCTTTGTATTTTGGTACAGCTGACAGAATGTCTGACCAACGTGTATATTTTTGCTTGTGGGAAGGAGTGAACCCGGTTTATTTTTCGCACACGCCCAGAGATACACGACGTGGTGCCCAAACCGCTCGACTGCTACACATTCGAGGAGTTTACCGGGGTGTTGAAGCGGGCCTCGCAGTGGCTCCAGGACCAGGGACCGCTGAGGCTGTACAATGTGCAGACGCTCTTCGTCAAGGCTAAACTACGTAAGTTCACGCAAGCTAAACCACCACGCACACAAAGACACTCACAAGTTCTGAACACACAAGAGATCTGGTATGCCTCCTAAAACAAAGGCCATGCTTTTTTTTTTTTTTTTTTGCAGACTTGTTTTGAATTTGAGGTGTTCTTGTGCGAGCGGTGGTTCGTTGGCGACCCCAAAGTCGTTGTATACGTGAAGACGCTACTGAATAAATACGCGAGTTGAGTTTGATGAGTTGCATATCTGTCGATCATTCTGTTCCCTTTACTTTGGATTGTTCTAGTTCTCCACCCGGTCTATAAAATTGTAAATTTACACCAGCTCGCTCACGCCGTCCATCACTGCTGTATCGCTAATATATTAAAACTTTCTAATTACGGCAGCAACACACAAACCGTCCGATCTTTCTCGCGCGACCACGCGGACAGACATACCGCCTGGTTCGATGCTGTCCCGGAAGGTGTCTTCCCTGGTGCGCTATCTCAAGGTCCTGCGAGTGGTGTACACGACGTTTCCGGAGGCCTCTCTCGAGTTCACGTCACTACAATTCCCCCGCTGTCTGTCCCATCGAGTCTTCATACCGTCGCTTACCGTGTCCGGAGAAGACGTCAAAGTGGCACAAGCCATCAGGGCCCTCAAGAACAAGATGAGTCTCTGGAGCAGCATGTTCCGTGAGTCTCACATCCTTTTAGCGGTTTATTGTTGGGCTTGGGAAGGGAAGTGGGGGGGGGGGGGGGGGGGGGGGGTATTCTTCAGTTGAGTTCGAGCAACACCCCCTAGATGTGTGTTACATGTTCGAGATAACGAGTAATACAATTTTGAAGGCGCGTTTATTGGAGTAGTTTGAAGGGGTACCAGAACGGAATCGTTGCACTTGTTTCTTTGTTTAGATGTGGTCTATGTTGTGCCTGCAGCCCAGAAACACTAGAGTAGACTAGCGTTTTCGGGCTGCAGGCAGAGAAGTAAAGCAAACTAATTTTAAAACAAATGAAGAGATCTCAAAATTGCGCCTGGTGGCGGTCTGTGAAGCTCTGTTGGAATGCCGCCACGTCATGAGTTCCTACGCAGCGTCAGGATCGCTGCAGTACGACTCACTCGTGGAGTTGCTTAGGCAGAGAACGTTAACATAAGTTGAGACTGCAGTCAAAGCTACAAGCGCGAGCTAGCCCGCGCTCCTGACTTAGAGACATGCATTTCTAGCGCGAGCGCTCGTTTTGCGGAAGAACACTTCAAAGCAGCGACCTCGAGCTCTCGTGGTTGTGACGTTGGGGAAGCTTCCACAGTGCTTCCGCAACGTGCATTTCACATTATCAAGTTTGCCGTTCTTTGAAGGCGTTAGCAGAAGTTTGATCTGTGGACGGGAGGACCTCGTCCAGGCCAACCATACCACCTTCTGCACCCCCCTTCCCTTCCCCGGATGCGCTGTGAATAGCGCGCTCAAATACGACACCCAGAGAAATGAGAATACCTAATATACATAGCTTGCAGGTGTTGTCGATTCTGTATACTGAAGGCCCCTATGCACAGTTGCCTTTGAGAGCGTTTGACTGCGTTGCGGCTGCAAAAAATCAGGACATCTGTGCTTCTTACGATTCCACGCTGCATACGAAGCCCAGATGTGCCGAGAACTCGCGTTCGTTTTTCGACGCAACGGAGTCAAACGCAACTGTGCGTAAAGGCCCTGACGGTTATTTCTCCTTACTGCATGGTTCCCTCGAGCTATTGCTTCTGCGGGGAGGCACTCACTTGATCGAATGACGTTTTAGCGAACGCCCACGTTTCATCGAATGACACTTTAGCGAATAGTCGGACGCCGCGAAGCGGCGTTTTCGGGTGGGCCAAGTGAGTTCATATTTTTGTAATGAGTTGCCGCAGACTGTCGCCGCGAAGCGGCGTAAAGCGCAGCGCGACGGATGGGTTAACGCGCGCCCCCGTTATTCGCTAAAACGACCATTCGCTCAAATGTCGCCGTTCGCTAAAATGTCATTCGCTCTTGTGATATGGACCCGCTTCTGCGGCGGGCAACTGACACGGCGAACCTAACACCCCCGGAGTGTGAAGCAGTCGACGAAGTTACGAGCACCGTCTGTCATGCGATTCTTTCGCACTTATATCCCTTCCGCTCGATGTTCTGCGTTTGAAGATCGATTGGTCAGTCCTTAGTCCGTAGCGTGCCGCCATCCGCGGAACGTCGTCATATTGAGAATGACGTGTGTGTACCTGCATAGCCTCCTCTATACTCGCAAAAGCTTGGCAGTTCGATGACGGAGCCATGAGTGCGCGGTCGAAGATTTGGAGCGAGAGAATCTGGTAGCACAGAACATTTCTCGAAGAGTCCGGTATTCAGCGCGCAGCTTTTGCAGCGGCGAGGACCCGAAACATGGTTTCCAAACCCGACGAGAATAGAAACGGTAGCCCGAGGAACGCGAGAAGCACGAGCGGATATTCCATCACCTGGGACAAGTGTTTCGCCGTCTCGCCGCAGCGGGGCGCCCGCTACACGCCTCTTGTCTGCCGCTCCAACTTTTCACTTTTGGCGACCACGTCACGCGATGATCTGCCAGGCTTTGTCAACATAGAGGTGGCTACGGTACATGTCATGTCCTACCTGTGATCTGTGCGATATCTTTTTTTTATCAACATATTTGCAGTTTTTTGGAGGCCACGAAAATTAGGTTCATATTCTTTTCTATTTTTGACACTCAATGTGTGCCTTAGATGGCACACTTTGAATATTTGGTACACAGAGTTTAAACGCCACGTGGCCGTGGAAAAGAGAGGGAGCACGACTGAAATTGAACAATTCTCGACCGCCGGTTTTTGGGCGGAAAGAAAACTAATTTCGAGCCGCAAATTGTGTTCTGGGTAGTTGGGTTTTTATAGGTCACGTTTAAATAAAAACCTCGATGAGCATAATTAACCTTTGTATGTCCCTTTGTAAAGACAAGTATTTGTTTTTAAGCGTATATGTGGCTTGCACACGCCGTCACTTCGCGATTGTGGTCTTTTCTGCTTCTTAGGCACATCCTTTCCGGTGTAAGACTACCGGAGCAGAGGGAACGCTCAAACAAAGATGCGTGAATTGTCAGTTTACGTCAGTGCAACGTATCTATACATTAACTCGCGTTTCTGACGCCACATCGAGACGAAGACGCTGCCGGTGGAACGACGCGAGCACGGATGACTCGCTCTTCGAAAAAAGCTGCTTTATTTGCGTGCACAAAGTCCACAAAATCCCGTTGGGAAACGTGCTTTTTGATAAGCCAGAAGCTGGCTCTTGTGGCTCGAAAAAGGGGCGGTGGAGAAAAGCTCACCGGAGAAAAGCTCACCGCGAAACCGGCAGATGCGGAGAATAGCTCACCGGCCTCTGAGCGGATGCGGAGAAAAGCTCACCGAATTTTTTTAACTTAGCGGATTCTGCGTCAAACGTGTCGATTTAACAAAATTCGCATTCGTCACTTCATTAAAAACATGTCCTCTTTCTAATATTCTTAAAGTTCATTGGGCATATTTACTAATTCCTCAGAAATTAGTAATCACCCATTCTGTATATTAATTAAGCCGCAAGTATAAATTAAGAACATCGTACACTGGTAAGAAAAGCCAACAATTTATTGACAGCTGACAGTACGCCTTCCGTAGCTCTGACAGATAAATCAGATAAAGAAGTTTGTTCTTTGCGAGCTAATGTGAATAGCAGTGTGTGAAACGTTTCAGCTCCCAATATTGTGTAGTGCCTAATAGATAAGTAGGTGTTTGTTGATGTAATCAGAGTCGGCTACACTGTTTCCTTTCTGTTAATTTCACTAACAAAGCTTTAGTTGTGCGAACAGCCTCGTCCTGTCGTGTTTGTTGAGTTCAATCCATCGTCGTCGTTTGAGCGGTTTTCATCATGTATAACGTTTACCAAGTCGCCCTATTTGTTACCTTACAGAAGACGACTTCTTATAAAGGTCACGAGTAACAACGCTGAGAGTGTGCAGCTTTGAAGGTCATGGGTGGTTGGCAGTAGAAGGGCACTATTGCACAAAGGCAACGAGTGGAAACATCAGCGCGAACGGCTAGAAAACGTGCATGTCCGTGGAAGATAGAAGCCTCGATAACCTACTGACTGTTTTATTCCGTTTTCAATTGTGAACAAGAGCTTCAAAAAGAATTTCAGGCACCGCGTTGTTGTGCAAGCAGTTTCGGATTTTCGGCATTTACAGATTTGATTTTTAAGTTTTAGGCAGACATTATTAAGTTTTCGAACTCTTTCTTGTTTTCAGTTAGGCTTCGTTGCGTAGAGGTTAAGCCATAGAAAACACTCGCCCGCAATTAATAATTTGGGAGCAATATACCCAATAAGCTTAACAAACATTACAAAAAAGGATATTTTCTTTTTTACAAAGCTGACGATTTTTAATGCTAATAAATTGATATAGGTTACGCATGATTCAACTGCATCCATGTAAAAAGGAGGAAAGAAAATTGGTGAGCTTTTCTCCGCATACGCTCAATGGCCGGTGAGCTTTTCTCCGCATCCACCGGTTTTGCGGTGAGCTTTTCTCCGGTGAGCTTATCTCCGGTGAGCTTTACTCCAGTGAGCTTTTCTCCGGTGAGCTTTTCTCCGGGATTCCGAAAAAGAGGACTTTCGGCAACCAGTGTCGCTTGCGTTCCAGGAGGCAACATCCTGTGCGCCGAGTCCCTGACCGTGGACTTCCTGCCGTTCGGACAAGGGGCCGACGACACCATCAACGCCTCGGTGCCGAACAGGCGGGACTCCCTGGGCCAGGCGACGGCCCGGGTGGTCCTCTATTTTCGCGTTTACACGGACTGTCCGGACATCCGTGCCAGGGCCAACTCCCCGGTGTCCATGGTCACACAATCTCAGTTCTACAGCAGCAGGGACGAAAGCCGCAGGTGCAGGATCATGTGAACATTTGTTCCTTTCCCTCGAGTTAACGCGACGCCTGTCAAAACGAATAAAGAATCAAGGTACTTCAAGTTCTCGCCGTAATTCTTTCAGGATCGAGTGAGAATCATCAACCTTCTGCGAAGCGTGCAGCGCCCACTCTGGCGCCGAAAGTAATCCTGGGAACTATAGTTTAGCAGACGACGGGTGCGCGCGGGCAGAAGAGGAAAAAAATCGCGTAGGATTCACAATTTTCTTGTTCCTCTGTACCAGCGTGAGGAACGTCTTGTCACCCCTAACCTTTAGTCGTCCTAAGGGCCCTTTTCACAACGCCTCCGCGTCAATGCAAAGCGTCAAATGTTCTTGCAAGAATACAAATTTTGTGTTATCCGGGCTTAAAAGTTTCCATTTAATTATAGACTCTGCATCCATAAACTGTTCCATCGCAGCTGTAACCACCACGAATACGCTGAATGGAGAGGAGGAGGCAAAGGCTGCACATTTAGAAATGGGCTCTGAGTTGTTCAGCTTCCGCCGCCATTTCTTCGTCAGAACGCTTTGGCCTTAGGTTCTTCTTGTCTTCCTGAAGCTGTGGGGCAAACAGAAATCGGTGTTACCATGAAAGGCATGAAGCCCGTTGACAGAAGTGTTTTACAAGTACCGTTAACCATTGTGGAAACACGGAAAACACGTGTCACGACGAGCAAGTGGGGTGTAGCACGATTGCCCCTCGTGCAGAATCCCCGTTGCAAAAGCCCTGCGTCATTATCCCTACGTTTCGAAAGCCCCGCATTCCATTACCCCGTCCCGTATTCGCCAAGTGCCTAAAGCCCCGTCCTCACTGCCCCCGTCCCACCCTCTTCGCGCTTCAACCAGCATTGTTCTATGTATTTACCTAATCCGCTGAGGGTCTACAAATCTCTTTTAAGTGAAAGAAACAACAGAATAAAGTTAACATGAACTGCAGAAAAACTTAGAATGGCGTACTACAAGTGGCCAACTCCATAAATATGCATAACCAGCGATGCACCCTGCTGTCATAGAGGTATATACATATACCTCTATGACAGCAGGTAGATAAAGTCTATAATTCTACGTCTGAGTATACCCAGACGTAGAATTATAGACATCATCTACCTAGATGGATACAAATATTGTTAGGACGTAAGAATGGAAGTGCTGTACATGTAATAAGTACGGCGCCATGAGCTGCAGGTTAACAGTATTGAAAAAAACGTCGGAACTGTGAACCCGCGTGTGCTTCAGAGTCAATGAAAGCTGTAGTTCAATGCTTATTACTTAAAAGTTTTGCCACTGACTGATATTTTCTGTTTGTTCTCACTTGTAACGTCACGAGACGTGAATGTGTATAGCGTACGCCTGAAGAACGGGAAGCTTTATCCAGTTATTCCTTACTTGAGTCCCAAGTACGGCATAATTCTTACACAAGCTCGCGTGCACACTTACTGTCTCTTAGTTAAAAGCAGAATGCTCCGCCCTCGCGCTGAGGACCCGGCCGCCTGATACGGGGGATTTGCGTTATGGGCTTCTGAAACTGGCGCTTTTGAAAGTGGGGCAAAAAGGCCCGGGCGTTAGCTGCATGGCATATGACACGGGGGTCTGACATCAGGTGCTTTCGTGCACCACCCAGCAAGTGCTGTGCCGCCACTTGCTTCCAAGGGCTGCACAAGGCGCTACTTGCAAACAAACGTATCAAAATGCTTTAGAAATGCATGATCCACAGCTCCCTCTTCAGAAATAATCTGAATATTCAGTCTACAAGTGCGTTAAATGCAAAAAAAAAACTTATTATAAAAAAAAATGCTTACTTAAGCATTTTGAGAGACCCCACCTAAAATCAGAAGCAAATTGGGTGAAAATTAGAAGTGGGCTAACTTTCGGTGTGCAATCAGGAAAAGTTGAAAAATGCTATATTTAGGTTATGTGTCCCTGCCAAACTTGTTACCGTGGCACGGGGCAATGAAGCAACAAATGACTGTACTTCCCAGTCAGCAATCTGCCACCATAGCTAACTAGCCGTATTTACGCCGGGGCCATCACATTGATCTGAATACTACGATTACAGGAAGTGGGCTATTAAGAAAAAACGACAAACCAAGCCAAATATAGGGGGCAGGCTATCTCGGGGCATCCATCAAAGGTATTACGGCAGTCTTTCTGATCAAATTTTCGTTTTAGTTCTGACTCGTAACATGCTGCAACAAGCGCTCGCTTGGTGGGCACAACGCAGGCACAGAAACCAGCACTTGCGATTCGCGAAGCATCTGCACGTGCGCCTGTGCCGTCAGCTGTACCACCGCTGCAGAGTTCCACCGTAAGACACGCGTTAGTCAATCGTCCGCTCGCATAAATTACATTTGTGCGAGCAGACAACAGTCTAAGCCCAAGCAACTTATGGGGAATTCTCTTTGCGGATTTAAAACAATTGCGGAGCGCTTTTCTTTTTTTGTCTTTTGCTAATTTTTTTTGCTTGTGCAAGCGCACACTAGCATCTACTGCTCTAAAGGCGTGAGCCGAGCACTTTTGCATCGCTCCAAATCTACTGAGGGAATTCCTCATACACGTGCCTGGAACGTGTCTCCGACTCCATAGTGTTATGGAGCGCTCCATAGCGGGTGAACCCCTCATCAAATAAAAACATGTCTCTCTCCGTCTCCGACCGGTGTGTCTATTGCGTCTAAAGAAACTGGTCCCTCGATTTCCGCCTGATGACGACGTCGAAGTGCCGTGCAGCGGCGTTGTACGTGGCAGACGCCTCTTCTGCTGCAGGTTGCTCTCCAGCCTGACTTTCCACAGAAGCTTCGACAGCCACGAATTGGGACGTTCCGCACTCTGGTCTGCTCGTGCCTTTTGCCAGAACTTCTATGACCAAGCACTAGCATTAGGACATCTGACAGAATAACACATCGGCTTGTGTGATGTCATTCGCTACCACTTCAGGACAGCTTTCGATGCATAGGCGGAATAGGACGTCAGTAGGAGCTTAGCTCAGGCAAAACTCTCAACTAAACCGTGCTTCTTTTTTTTTTACAATGCGGTCATTTTGCGTGACTCACCTTCACGTACACTTCGTCGTTTCGAGCGAAGTCTCCGGGTCTCCGTGGCAGCACATGCACATGAATGTGGTCGATGGAACGGCCCGCGTCTGGCCCGTCCTAGTTAAAATATGCGACAAAAACAGAATGAAAAACAATGGTTTTCAAAGTGAAGCTGTAATTATTAGAAGAATGGAAAAAAATCAGACTTATTTGATTGAAATCAGACTTATTGGATTAAAATCACAGTAACCATAAAATATAACTTTGATCACTATTTTTATACGATTACTTAATTAGTTAATTTTAACGAGTAGTTAATTAATCCGTCCGATCACTGAAAACCAAGAGGAAGAAATAATTGGTTTGAATTTGAAGAACAGCTTAATTAACAAATTTCATTTTTTAATAGCACCGCCATAGTAGACAAAAAATACAGTTCGACATACTTTAGGGTCTGAAAAAGCTTCATTTGCCCTTTCTTTTGCGAACTGAATATCTTGCACGAGGACATTGCTTTTTTAGCATTAGTTTCTTTTTTTCGCATTCTGATTTACTTGCAATAGGACGTTGCGTAACTGACGAACGAGGTGAACGGGTGAAAGAAAACCGCCGTGGTCAAGCTCAACCTGATATAAATCTTTCTTGCTTGATTCCCTGATTTATATACAAAATAACATAGAGGGCATCACATGATAGACAAATGGCAACTAAAAATATTCTGGAATGATTTTTTAAGGAAGAGGTCCTGTATAAATCATCACAGTAAAACCGATCTGATTTAAGTCAATATAAATCCCGATTCAGATCATCTTGATTTTTTATTACCCACCCTGGTTTGCAGACTGACGTAAACATATCCCAACAGGTGAACACAGAAATACTTCTATTAACTTGCAATCCTTTGGCTCCCGAAAGGATGATGTAGCCCACAGAAATACGAAATGCAAACAAAGAGTGGTCAATATAATGACCACGTTTTTAGCCAACCTTTTGCTTGCCACTTCCCCACAGTGCATCAGTGCGTCTGCCCTTCTCGGGTGCGTATGCATGTTGTTGATACGCTTGATTTGACACAGTGGAAGACTCGCCACCCAAACTTGCACTGCAGCATCCAACTCAGCTATGGCCACCAGTAACCAACCAAACGTGACAAATAAAAAGTAAAAACGTGAGTAGGCACCTAAGAATATGCTTCTACAAACGCACTGGTGAATTGTGGGGAAGTGGCAAAGAGAAGGCTGTGCCACAAACAGTGCCTTCCTCGGTTGAGCTGCTTCGAGCCAAACCAAGTATGGCTATGCCCAACATGACATTGCCAAGGCTGGCGTGGCTTCCGCGGCAGCATTGCACTGCTGCGAGAGCACGTGGCTTCGTCTTGCGTGTCGCTCACATGCACTCGCGAAACTAGCTTTCACAGCGCAGTAGAAAGTAGCCCAGCCTTGACAACGCAGCACGAAATAGTTGACACCCAGTATACTGAAGTAATCTTTCGTATGTTTCACTTTCGATAGTTCCCTTTGTCCTTTTTGAAACCGTCGTTGCAACTTCGAGGATCCGGCCCAGACTTACCTGGACAGCTATGGTAGAGGACGATGCACCAAACTGTTTCTCCGCCGCAACTTGCACTCTCTGGACAACTAGGAAGAGGTCCTGCACCTCTTCGACGGACAGGTCTGCGAGTCGCAGCGCCGGGCGGATAGGAGCGACTAGAACATCTGCGTGACTTTGCTCAGGAACTGATTTAACTAGAACCTCATGTAATAAATATAAGTGGGGGAAAAAAAAGAGAAAAAAAAAACAACCGCATCTTTACGTGGTGAATGATGTTGATTGGGGCGAAGCTCTGATGGTGCTTGTCTGTGTAGATGGTGAGCCGCAGCATGCCGAGCCTTTCGTTCGTTTTCATCCAAGTCACGCTGCGGTCAAATGCTCAAATGCGCATATAACCACATTCCATACCACACA